AGTAAATCATAAGGGTGACCCACAGATGAAAGATTTGCATGACTACTTCTGTGAGACACACTATAGCAAAGCAATATTATGCAAATACCACTGCATTATACCTGGACGTATTCATTAATGTACACGAGAAGTTATAAAAAATTGTATAAGGAATTAAAGAAAATAGCCATCAATATTTGGAATAAACCTCTTCTGCTCCATGTGAGAAGCTGCATCTCATGTTTCCTGCTGGGATCTCTCTCCTAATTATAAGTATAGATCTTTGGCTTACTGAAGACCTGCAGGCACTACAAAAACCTTGCTATTCATTCATGAATCATGATCAGCCCCTGGCCTACGGATCAGGATCTAGTTCATAATTAATACTATGGGCTACTAACGCATCTACAGAATGTTTTCCCCACTTCACTCTATCAACCCTAACTTACCCAGGTGGAGTACCATTTGCACTTGCTAACAAGTTTTTCTTTAAAGGGATTAAATTTCTGTTATCTTTCTACTCTGGACTCTCTGGTTACTCAAAAAGTGTAGTTAAATTCTTGACTATGCACAGGAAGCCAGCAGTTCTCAAGTTTTCCACTCTGAACATGCCTGATGGCCAGGATTTCTTCATGGACAAAATAAGCAGTAATGAAGGCTACTTCATGGGCAAAATGGGACTATTCATAATTCCCTGCCCATCAACTTTCCTGCTGAACCATGGAAGTAAATATTGTTGTGGTAACATTGATACATCCATTTCATGGATACCTCTAGAGACCTTTAAATGCCCACATGTTTACAAGGGCATATATATACAGACTTCCCTGGGATCACATTTCCATCAAAAAAAAAAAAAAATCACCTGCTCTGGAAAAAACTGTATGGAAATCCTCAAAAAATTAACACAAATTAACCATGTTATCCATAAATTCCATTCTTAAGTATATGCCTAAAATAATTTAAAGCAGAGACTTGAATAGATACTTTTACAGCATTATTCAAAATAGCCAAAAAGGTAGAAACAACTAAAGTGTATCAGTGAATGAATAAACAAAATGTGGTATATACATGCAACAGAATATTATTCAGCCTTAATAATGAAATTCTAACACATGCTACAACACAGACAAATCTTGAAGACATTATGTTATTGAAGTAAACCAGATAAAAAGGTCAAAACTGTATGATTCCATTCATATGCCAATAACTAGAATAGTCCAATTCATTGAGGCATGAAGTAGAATGGTGGTTATCAGGGCTGGTAATGGATACCATCTAAGGATATAGAGATTTGGTTTGGGAAGATGAAAAAGCTCTAAAGGTGGGTGGTGGTGATGATTGCACAACAATGTTAATTCCACTGAACAGTACACTTAAACATGGATAAAATGGTAAATTTTTATGCTATGTATATTTTACTGCAATCAAAAAAAATCAATTGCTCCATAGTCTATTCTCAACCCCGAATTAGGTTAATATGCAACTTCAGCTAAAATTTTCTTTTTCATCTCTAATCATTTCCACATGGCAGAGTTTTTGTCATTTCATATTTTCAGTAAAGAAATCCCAGAATTTATAAGAGAAGAACAAAGCTTTATTAGGATGCAGATGCCTAGCTGGGCATTTCTACTTGTGAAATACCTCATTCATGAGTCTGCCCAGATTCTTAGTGTCTGAGATCCAAAAGAATGCTTGGGCAAAATGACAAATTCCATTCTTCCTTGACCTTCTGCAGTTCACACAAGTACATGAAACTGTGAATGTAAAATCCTAATTCTGAGGCTCTTGGATATTCCTTGCTATATCTGTCTCAGATTGATAGCCTTAAGTCAGAATTAAAATACATTCAATATTCTCTGTTTAAGAAGGCTGAGGAAATGAAAGAAGAAATTGAAATACATTTTAGAAAGTCTTTCTTTTTTTTTAAATATAACATGGGTAATAATTTCAGCAATCTAATGAGAGGTTTTAGTTAACTGAAAACTGCCAAAATGGATTACAGAATGTCTGGGCAAAGCTAAGTTTGAATGCTTCCTGCAAATCCATTTCATTTACATTTTAGTGACTGATTTATAAGCACACTGGGGGAATATTTTACACACTTTAAATTGTTATTATTTATTATTATAGAAAGATCATTATAATTTAATCATCTTTTAAAATTTCAAATGACTTCTACAATGTTATCTTCTAAATTCTCATTACAGATAATTAAATTTTGAAGTCCAGGAAGAAAAGAAAGTATTTTATTATTATATGTGAAATCATAAAAATATTATAAACTTATGAACATCTTGAATGAATAAAAAATAAAAAGCTAAATCAGAAAGTCCTTTCATGAAGGATTCAGTGTTCTTTGACACTTGAAATGTCACTTTGTTCACAAGCTCAAATTAAACAATTTTGCAGGCATTCATTCATTTTTCATTCTACAAAGCAAATGTCCTGAATGCTACTACATGTTAGCCTGTCAGGCACCAGTGCTACAATGACGCACAAACTAGATGTGGTTACCATCCATGACATTTTCTGTACACCATCTCCAGATAAAAAGAAAATTAAGTTTACCCAACAGAGGAGAGCCTTTTAAATTTAGACAGAATTATTTCAGATATCCCAGCAATTCACACATAGGTATATGTGACTTTTTGGTAATGCTTTCACATTAAATCCAAGAGTCAACATTTTAATGCACAACAAGGGCTGAATATCCACTTGTTCAATTCTCAGACCTCATTTTACTTGATGTATGAGTATCTTTGTCAAAGTCAATGCCCTTTCCCTGCTAGGCTCCAGGAAACCACATTTTCTTAGTTTTCTTCTACCTAAGGGGTCACTCCTTCTTGGTTTTTGCTACTTTCTACTTAACTTTTAAGTTCCCAGTATTGATCACTTTTGGTCTAGTTCTCTGATCAATTTGTAGTCTATCCGTCTTTTGGGAGAACAAATTTTTCTGTTGTCAAGTCTTACACGTCAAAGACTCCCAAACTGATTCCTCCATTCTAGACCTTTCTCCCATTACCAAACTCCTATATGAAACTGCCTCTTAAGCATTTCTATTTCAACATCAACGTATCCATTACCATCCAAGGCAATCCCTCTGCCTGCAACTCTACTCTACCTAGAGCCTTTTGCATCTTGATTGATATCCATCATTCCAGTTGCTCAGGCTGAGAACAATGGAAATATTTTTGGCTCTTTTCTTTTGCAACTCATATTTATCTGTCAGGAAATTCTGTTGTCACTACTTTAAAAATACATCCAGAATCTAACCACATCTCACCATTTCCACTACCCACACCAGGGTTGGATTCACCATCATTACTCATAAGGATTTATATAGTAGTCCAGGCTCTAGGGCAGCCAAAAAGTGTTTTTTAAACCTAAGTCACAGCATGCTACTTCTCTAAAATAATTTCTCATGTCACTCCAAGTAAGGCTGAAAAAAGTGGACCTAAGAGGTCCTGTAAGAGCTGGACCTCTGCCCTACCTCTCTCATCTTGTCATCTCCTTTTCCTTGCTCATTCTACTCGAGCCCAAATGATCTCTTTGTCCCTCCTCAAACGTGTTGAGCAGATCCCTGCTCAGGGCTTTTATACCAACCACTCCCTCTACCCGAGACCCATTTCTCTTTAACACCAGCATAATCAGATTCCCCAGTTCCTCCAAGTCTTCACTTAAAGTCCCCTGCACACTCCTGCCACCTTATTTAAAATTGAAACCTTCCCTGGCTTCCCCAATCTTTCTTGCCCTGCTTTTTTTTTTTTTTTTTTTTTTTTTGCTTTTTGTCATGATGCTTAGGACTCTCCAACAAATTATATAACCCATTTATGTATGTTTATTATTTGTTCTCCTCTCCATCCCAACTAGACTATAAGCTCCAAGAACAGTCAATAGATATTTTTTTGAATAAACAAAAAGTGTGTTCCAAAATTATGGCTGGTTGAAAAGCATTCAATTCTTAGATTTTGCATTTTGTTAAAGGGCAAATTTATGAAAGCCTATAGTGAATCCCTGCCACCTTTCCCCTTCTAACATACAGTTCTCAGTTCTATATATATTATTTTTCAGTATGTAGTCGTCATAGAATAAGCTGTATTTCATTAAAATATGCTATAACTAAAGCCCTGTTTAAGTCAAACTGGTCTCTGCCCTCCATCTTTCTACATTAACTGACCTCTCTAGGGATGCCCTAAATAATCACAAGTCATAGTTAAGTGCATAAATTCCTGACTGCCTTTCTTCCTAATACATGTCACATCAAGTTGCCTACTTGGTAATAAACTTGACCACTAACTGGCCCCTGCAATTGGGAACAGGCTTATGACTTTCAGCTTGAGGCTCATAACTGAAAGTCTTTTTTCTATAAATGGCATCAGGTGTCTTTTGTGACATCTCAAGCTCAGCTGTTCTGCTGCAGGCTGTCTTTTCCCCTACAGTATGCAAGATGTGGATTATGTGTACATTACAGACACTATTTTAAATCCTGCCATTCCTCACGTCCCGACAACTCTGCTGAAAAGCCACACTTCAGATCCAGCTTCCATACCTCTTTGCGATAACCCACAGCTCCCAAAGGGATCAGGGGCACAATCTGGGATGAGGTTTTTGTTTTGGTACTAGGGATTGAACCCAGGGCTTCCCACATGCCAGGCACATGTTCTACCACTGAGCTATACCCCTCTCCCCTAGTCTGAATTTTAAATTATGTCACTCCACACATACTCTTCAAATACAATGAAAATTCAGTTTTTTACATGATGCAATAAACACACAGACACAAATTTAATTTTATCTGCACACAAGAACATAGACAACCATGACAAAGCTTCCCCCCCCCCTCCCTTAATAGACACTTTTGGACTATCCTGCTCCTTTGGAATAGCAATGCTAGTGAATAAATCCAAGGAGGTCAAATTAACTTAGGTACAGCAAAAATGCTTAATTGCACACTTCATATGGAGGGAAATTTCAGGATACCATGGAGAAAACACTGGCAGAGAAATAAAACCCAGGCATTGACCAAAGCACTTCATTTGTATTTTTAAAATATAATCAACGACATATCTAAAATGAACAATCGTTAAGTAGAGAAGTGCAAAGGAGTGCTAAGATGATAAACACAGCATATTATTTTTGCTCACAATAAACACAGCATATATATTTATCTCCCAAATAAAAACAGATTTGTAACACCTTGGGCACTAATATTTATAACTGAATTTAAAAGCTATAATCAAGTGAAAAGTCAAATTAGGAAAGAAGCTACATAAGTGTTACAAAAATGTGGTGCTATAATTTTTAAATGAGAACCCTCAGGCCATCACAGTTGCCTTCTTTATTGCTATCATATATTTTTTTTAAAAATCAGGGCATCTACCTTCTGCCACTGCCCCAGACTCCTACCTTCTGCCTTGATAATTTTTTTCTGCCCACTTTTTCCACTGTGGGCATCTGATTGATGTAACAATAAATACATGTTAATAAAACTCCCCTGAAGGAGTTAGAAAACATATTTCAACAGTTTTTCTAATGGACTACTAAAAAACTCCAATTGTTATGTTTTTATTAATTCTCTGTACTATTTCTAAATTATAATATGCAATAATATAATTTCACATAATATTAAAACTGTCTTTCTAATGATCTTTGAAATCTTGCTTTCCCAACGGACAGCATGAAGAATCTATGCCATATTCTATTCTGTCATTTTCAAGTTAGACGAGGCAGTTATTTTTACAGTCATCACAAAGAATGTGCCAGAATCTCAAGGGAACCATGAACCCACCAATTCCTACAGAAAAGAAGGCTGGGAGATGTGATTCAACTGTCAAAGTACATGAAATCAGCAGTATAAATTATGAAATCTAAGCCATAGTTCCATTTTTCTGTGAAGGGAAATCACAAATTTTCCATCAAGATGAAAAACACAAACAAGTGAAACAAACAAAAAAATCAGTGGAGAGAACATCTCAACTTCTTATACATTAACCTCTGGAAAATACTTTCCATTTTTGTTGCTGTTGCTTTGTTTTTTGTTTTATCTACTTATTTAGTCTTCCTGGCACTATTTGTCTTCATGGAAAGCAAAAGAGATCAAACACCTGTGCTTGCTGAAACCTACGGCCTGTGACATGGCTACAACAAGCTGCACTCAGCCTGTGGAGCTGAAGTGGAACCACTTTTCAAAGCTGCAGGCAGAAGTGATGGTTCCAGAGCTCCATGGTGGCCAGTCACTAGGGCAGTGGCTCCTTCAGAAGGCCATTCCAGAATAATCTCAGCTTGGCTTCACCAACCTTTTCTTGGTTTCTGTCCATTTTCCAAACTAGGTCTTCCAGTCTTTTCACAGATTCAATTAATTATATTCATGAAGTTCTCTGCCCAGTTTCACCCAAGTCACAAGCCCTGGGCTGACAGCAGAGTAAAAGTGGCCCAACCAAGCATCATGTAAGAAGCATGGGAGCTAAAACAACTACCCAGTTGGAAGCAGGGGCAAAAACTGCTGGTCATAAACTACCTCTGAGATATACATGATATACATACATACGTGTGTGTGTGTGTGTGTATTAAGATTTATAACATGACTTGAATTCATTATTACCTAAGAGTCCCTTCAGTCTTTGCATTTTCTTTACTAATTACCCTTTCACATTGGTCCAAAACCAATACCCAGGTTCCCAGGAGTGCTGTGTCTCATATTCCATTTCTGCTCTCCTACCACTCACCCAGAAGGGTCATTCTGAAAGGTAACACCTCTTGCCTCCTGCCCAAGCTGGCAAAGGCTTGAAGTTTTGTATTCTTTCCCACAGGCAATTTTTTTTCTTGGCTATTAGGAAAAGATCTCTATTAAGCTCTCCTCTAAGTCATCTAGGGAGGAAAACACTTGGCATATAACAAGGGGTCAATGAATGGTTTTGAATGAACCTTCTGCAAGCTTCACAAGTTGACTCCTTTCTAACCCTGTGGACACACCTTCCCTAGAGACAATTACCTTGATTTAAGAAATCTCCCTCAGCTTTTAATTACTAGAAACATGCACCTATTTAATGGCATGAATGTCATTTTCAGGAAGCTTTTGAAAGCAAACCTTGCTACAATAAGCCTTAGTTTAAATTGAGTTCTGACAGCAAGATCTGATTCTCTATTTATTTCCACCATGTAACTGGATGTTCTCATACTCCAAAGAGGTTAAATAAAAGTAAGTAAAAAAAATTCACAAAAAATTAGTTTATTTAACATTTGCTGAGCATCCCTACATGCTAAGTCTAAGGTAATTGCTTTATATAAATTATCTCTAATAGAAGTTAAACAAACAGTAATGATGTCTTGTCTAGTACAGCAAAAGAAAAATAATTTGATGACACACTAAATGGAACCAAGAAAAATTTAAGTAGCATCTTTTCTCCTATGTCCCTCCCTCCCCCTGAACCATTTATATTAATGTCAAATGTAGTATAGATCAAGAATTTGGAACATATTTTAGGTTGCACATTTGAATTTTAGATTTGAAGAAATGTTGAGATTTTAAACCCTTGGTTAATAAACTTCAACTTTTAAAATATTTAACAATATCAAGAAAAATCACAGAATATATGTATTTGGCAATGCTATTGCCAATAAGAAATCATGCTTAAAAGAACTTAGGAATCAAATGTTTTATATGCATCATTTTTCTATGTATGTGCCTTCTGTTTAATTTTAAATTATTTTACTACATATAGATAGTAACATCTATATTCCCAAGGTCATCTGTCTGCTCTTAAAAAAAATAAAGAAAAAAGCCTTAATGTCCTACATAGTTTATAAAGTGATAATTTACAAATAATAATAATGTTCCTTTCTGCATGGCTCGAATTCATTTCCTGCTGGAAGGCACTTTAGAGACCCTTCAATCTCCATCTTTGAACTTGCAATGGCCTTGAGTTAATGGTAGATCACAGCTTAATAGAATATAAGGTTTTATATATTTTATCCTCAGAGATATTTGTTTGCATGAAAAATAGAAAACACAATTATATATACCCCAAACTGATTCTTAAGTTTGTGGATTACTTCTTTTAATTCTTAAATATCTCCAGTAATGTGTACAATATAAGAAATTGCAATCATTGTTGAGGAATGTTTATTAAGAAAGACCATTTTGCTAATGAGTTAAAGCCTCAATGCTCTAATGGTATAACTTCTAACATACCCCAAAAGTCGGCAAATATCTGATTTGCCAACTATTTTTGTCAATAAAGTTTTACTGGAACACAACCACGGCCAATTTGTTAAGTATTTTCTATGGCTGCTCTCTACCACATGGCTAGCAAAGCCAGAAATATTCACTCTTTGGCCCAAACTATATAGCCTTCTAAAACTCTGAAATCATTGTATAAAGGCTATTAGCTATTTTCAGAGCTGTGTTAATTCTTACTAAACAACAACAAGAGTATTAAAAAGACCTGCTATACAAATTCACTGGGTTAGGATATTTGGTGAGGCGTTTGGTAAGAAGGGAGACATTTTGATATGTGTGCCACAGCAGTGAAAGTCACAGCTGACACCTTCACTGGGTAACTCGGGAACAGGACAGAACTTGTAGCAACTTTGAACATTAAACTGCTTCATCCATGATACAGGAAGAGGTTGGCCTAGATGACCTCGGAACTTGTCGTTCTTCATGATTTTGTAAAAATTACTTAAGTAAAAGCATAAGCAAACATGGAAATGTGAGTACACAACACAACAGTCAATGTCTCCTAGCACCTGCCCATAAAGAGAGCAGAGAAGTAATACACTATAGAAAAAATGGAAACCAAAATGGTTACATGAGAATATGTGGCAGTTATTATAATACTCTAGCAAGTTTTTAGTAAATTTGAAATTATAACAGAATGAAAGTTTAAAAATAATCACAACAATTTAAATGTTAGCATTTAAAAGGAAAACTTCAATTACCTTCTACAATGAGCAAAGTTAAACTAATAACTACCACATATAAACATATAAACGGGGTTCAGTGTGTCCACCAAATCAGGCATATCTGAGGCTATGAATCACCCTTGCTCCACTAGTTCTGTCTTGAAGTACCACCTTACAAATTTTTCCCTTTGAATTTATTGTATGGCAAATAAGACAGCTAATAATTAAAGGAATTAAAGATAAGTAAGACGAAAAAGAAGCCAGGGATACTTGAAACACTTGACTGTCACACTATCAGTATATCCCACATATTTTACATATACACATATTCCAAAAAGATAAGAGTTATTTTTATACAATACAAACATGAAGAAAAAAATTATGCTAACTGAAAAAGTGCCTAGAGAGCCACACACATGCACACAGTTAAATATAGAAACTAACTGTAATGAGGAATCATTATCTCCAGTTTCCAAGGATACCAGGATAAGCACTACTCCTAAATTGCAGTTCACTCAGCAAAGGGCACACAGCAATTTATATTCAGGGTCATCTCTAGCTGACAGCAGATGTGAAAGGAAGGACCAGGGTAAATCACCTTGTTTGTTTGAGACCTCCTCTACTTTCCAGCCCCTGACCCACCTGCCTCTGGTCCCAACCCTGGCCAATGTTTTATATGAGAAAATTTTTAAAATATGACTATAAATAGCAATTTCCAAGAGGGGAAAAACTCCACAAAGGACAGGGCAAAATAAGATGTGATTAATGCTGGGAGTGGGGGTGGGAGCTGGCATTCCATTTTCTTTGTTTGTGAAAAGCAGCAGAGGCTGGTTTTGTGCATCAATCTAGTTGCCATCTTTCCCAATGCCTAGAAAAGAATTATACAGTTAATCTCAATTTCACACCCAACCAAGGCATGCAAGACTTTTGGGTTTACCATTCCTAAACTGCCATAGTTTCTAGAATCAAATACAGCTTCAATTTATCTGTCTTCCAGACCCTAGGATCTAGACTTTTTATGATTACTTCCTTTTGTGTTTCTATGGCAATAAAAATGTAAAAACTACTTTCTGACAACCTAGGGGATATTGCCTCAGAATCCTTTGTTTGTTTATTCAAGATCATTTGTTTATTTTTCCTGGTACTGGGATCAAGATCATTTATTGATTGCTTTCACTCTGGGAGGCATTTGTGCCAAGCCAAGTAGGCAGTCACGAGCAGGGGTAAGAGACTTAGGATCACTAGGTCAAGTATCAATGACAGACCTTCACTTAGGTAGTATAAAAAGAGGCATTCTCCTTCTTAATCAAAATGTCAATTATGAAAATAGTGATGTGGATTTTATGTTACTTTAAGTTTGTCTTAAACATAAAGTATATATAAAAATATGGCTCATATATAACAGTAATTCCTCACCCATCACTAGTCTATCCAATACAGCAAGACCTCCCATGTTGCATCTGGTACCTGTTAGAGAAGAAAAGCTCTTTCTGCCTTCAAATGTTTCCTCCTGATGGACACGACACTGTGCCAGGCTAAGCTTCTTAGCCTAATGTGATAATACAGGAAAATAAGCTGCCTGTTTTGAAAAAGAAGGCCTTCTAGGACTTTCCTCCTGTACACCAACTAATTGATATTTTTACTGTTTCTACAAGGTGAAGGAATAAAATACAGCAAAGATTCCTAGTGGTTATGTAACATACAGAGTGTATAGCAATAAGGCAAGCTATTTTAATATTAACTATTAATATAAAATGCAATGCTTTTTCCTCACTTTCTTTCTATACATTATACATGATTGGAATACCACATATCCAGAAGAATTGTCATGAAGATGTCAGTACAGCCCAATCTTTTTTTCTTTGTTATTTTTGTAGTCTCACTTTTTTACTTTTTGGATTAAGATTGTTTTTAAAGCTAGTAAACAAAGTACTAAGTGCAGATTTCAAAACTATTAAAAACTATATAAAATGGGAAGCTAGTCTCAATTCTCTTAAAAGTTATGTCAGCAATTATTTTGGTGTATTATTCGGACCCTATTTCTCACAGCGATAACATTTTGAGGTTAGAATCTAACGTCTCAGCCTTAAACCTTTAAAAATGCTTAAATGCTACTAAATAGGGTATTATCTAATCTTTTCCTCTCTTCCACCCAACGCTAATGCTTATAGAGCAAAAACACTTTGCTAGGAGGAACAGTAGACACAGAAAGCATCCACAAGTTACTGGCAGAAAGACTGCCTTCTGTTTTAACATTTTATTTTTTCCGATAACCCAGACCAGCTTTTACAAAACCTCTGAAGGTAGAAGCCAGCATAACTGCGTTTCCTGCTTGTGCATAACCAACTTAAGAAAAAAAAAAAAAGTCTTCCCATTGAAAGTACCCTACCCACCAATTCAGGAGCCTCAAACTTGGCCTGGAGCCATTTGACTCTGCTGATATCAAAACCTCACATGATTTCCCCATCCCCATTATCCTCATTTCGAAGTAATGGTCCTGTGTATTGCATGTCTTCAAAAATACTTTTTAGCAGCTCATCCCCCTCCAACTCTTCTTAACTAGAAAGTATCCAACTGACAATTCTCAAATCATAAAGGCAGCTAAAACGCCCTTGAGCGCTGTCACAAATTTTTTTAAAAGTGGATTCATGACAACCAGCAAAGAACCTGCCACCAGAGGCCATCCCTGCATGGGTTAGGCACAGCTAGGATCCGGGGCCCAGCTTGGAGCCCTCCAGCCTCTGGTGTAACCTCCCGGCCTCACTTCTTGGAGGAGGCTGCGGGCAGCTGAGCCCACAGTTGTTGCTGATACAGTCCTACCCACGTAGGGGGTGTGGCTGGAATGGCGGTGCTTAGGGAAGGCAGTAGGGGTGCTGGGCTGCGTGTGCCTGGGGAGGAGGTGACCCGGTAACCCCAAGGTTGTAAGGGGAAGGCGAGCGTAAAGGCAGTGTTAGAAGGTTGCCCGGAGGCTGTTTAGGGCCTCGGTGTCAGCGGAGATGCTGCTAGTCCCAGCTCCCGGGGCGCAGGGGAGACCGGGTGGGGAGAGTGGAAGTGCGGCTGAGTGGGCTGGGCTCCCGGAGTCCCGGGACTGTCACGATGGGCCGCGAGGGGTGAGGGAAGAACGGAGAGGCTGTGGGCAGGCTGGTGCCCTCCCTCCAGGGCCGGGGGTGGGCCAGAGTGCTGGCCAGCGCCAGAGGCGCGCACTCACCTATGCACAGCTGGACGGCGTAGGCGTAGTAGGACCAGCCCAGCAGGAGGCTGATGAAGACCACCGGGATCCAGTAGAGCACCCGCCGGCACCGCCGCCTGATGCTGCCCGGGCCCGAGGGCGCCATCTTCCAGCCGCATCCACCTGCCCAGCTCTGCCGCCGCCGCCGCCAGCGGGCCTGGCTACGGGGCGGGCTGGCCGCGCCCGGCGCCCCAGGCTGGACGGGCCCGGGGGCGGCGGCCGGTTGAGCTGCGGCCACTGCCGCCGCCGTGGCGCTAACTCCCCATCGCGCAGCCCACGAGCCAGCGCCGCGGACTCCCGGCTGCTCAGCCCGGCGGAGGCGGCGGCTGCGGGAGGAGGCCGAGGGGGAGGAGGCCGAGGAGGAGGAGGAGGCGGGAGGCTCCGCTCCGCCCCCGCCCCGTCGCTCCCGCCTCGCCGCCTCCCTCGGCGTGGCCGCTGCGCCCTCGGGCGGGCTTTCTGGGGACTCCGGGCGTCTCCGCTGCGCTCAGGGGGCCCTTCGCGACCCGCGCGCCCTCTCGCCACTGGGTACTTGAGAGACACCCGGGGAGGGAGTGAAGTTGCCCACCTTGGCCCCACTGCCTCCGGGTTTGATCCTGAATTCCGGGGTAAACAGGTGGAAGTGGGAGCTCCGGGGCTCCTTGGCCTTGATCACCGGGGGTTGGGGTTAGATCACTGGGTGACCCTCCCCAGGCGCCCGCCTCTCGGGGAAGTTGGGACGCGGGAGCCGCTACACTTAGCGTCGGAGGCGCGCGGGGAAGGGGAGACAAGGGCGACCCTGCAGACCCGGGAAGCTGGCCCTCTGCGCCTGCCCTGGGCTAGTAGGGACCGGTGGCCCATCGCGATAAATGCGCCATTAGAAGGTCTGTGGGCGCTGAGGCCAATGTCCTTGCATCCTACTTGGAACATACTCGATTCAAGTAGTGGGCGCCAGCAAACGTGGAGGACAGAGAGGGTGCGCCAGGTTCTTGACTTGTGAAAATACTGTTTGACTGTGAGAAAGATTACTTTGTCTACTGCACGGACTGGATGTTTTGTTTTTCTTTTGGGGGTGGTGGTGGTGTCAGAAATGCACCACTAAAGGGGGTTGTAGAGTGGTCTTCCTTCGGGTGTGTCAGGGGATGTGAAGCCAGGAAAGAGCATTTTGGTTTGAGAATCCAGAGACCACTGGAATTAGTAACGGAAGTTATTTACTCCGAGTAGTTTAACTCTTTTGCTAAATTATTTCATGATTGTTAGAGTGTCCATTACCAGTACCCCTTCCCAAGAGCCTGATGGTTCCTCCTGGCACTCTTTTCCTCCACCCTTTTGTTACTACAAAGTTTTCTTTTGTTGTGGCGATTCTAAATTTAGCATGTAGCTGCTTCTAAAGTGATTGCCTAAAACGCTGGAAGGACACCTAAGGGTAGTTAAATCAAACCTACCGAGTTTATGATGGATGAACAGAAAAAAAAATACAAATTCTTCTGAGGATGTTTCCTTTTTTTCTGGTTCATCCGATTATAAACGCATCTGATTCCACAGGAAAACACTTAAATCAATGTAGTGCATCTGAATTAGATAATGTAATTATTATATGAAATGGTCATAATTTTACTTAACCTATTGAATATGTATATTTACACCACAGAGCAACCATATCGAATGAAATTACTTTATATTCATGTATAAGGTTCTCATTTACAGGAATTAAGTCAAATTAAGCTCTCCTGTTTTTGTGATTAATTTTTGTGACTGAATTAAGCAGTAAACTAATCTCTACTGAAATAGCTACTACATTGCTCTCACACAATCTCTTCACTTCCATTCAAAAATGCATAGAAAATTTCTATAGGATCCCGAATCATCAAAATAAAAAATACTTCACCCCACTGTTTTTCTGTAGCACTTTATATTCTTTTTGGACATTCTGTAGGGTAGAAAGGTATAAAAATATAATTTTCCTTGAGTCCTCAATTTTACCTATGGAAAGAAAATTTTGTGCTTCTAATTAGAGTAGGCTAAGGAGGTTAGGGGTGAGGCTCAGTGATAGAGTACCTGCTTGGCATCTATGAGGCCATGTACAAAATAAATACAAGAGATTAACAAGAATTAAAATCCCTAACTGGACTGAACTACCTTGACAATCAGTCAAGTGAAAGTCAGTAGAGACTCCTGAGGTATAAAAACAAGTTTCTTACACTGAAAGCCCTGGAGAAAGTGCAAATTGTGCCTCTTTAGATACTGGATGCTTCAGTGTCCTGTGCTGTTCCTCATCTTATGCGGGCTTGAGGTTGTGAGCCGAAGGGCATTCTATATAGTTGTCCTATCTTTTAACCTTTTGGAAGAATGTGAATATGTAACTAAGATTGGTGGAGGCCACATTTTTTATCACCCAAAATAGTATTAAATTGTTCATATTTATATTAATGTTTATGGAATATTTTGCAAGTTTTTACTTTTTTAAGGATACAAATATTACTGAATTCTGCACTCATTATTATCTTTAAAAAAATGTTGGGGGGGGGACATCAATGGCCCATGCCTGAGACAGGAGGATCACAAGTTCAAGGCTAGCCTCAGCAACTTAGTGAGACCCTGTCTCAAAATTGAATAATAAAAAGTGCTGGGGATGTGGCTCAGTGGTAAAGTATCCCTGGGTTCAATTCCCATAAATAGATAGATAGATAGATAGATAGATAAGTCTAGTGCAGGAAGAATTGTCTCTGCCACACAATGACAGGATTTATCTTCACATAGTCTCTAATTAGGCATAAACATGCACATACAAATGTAAGCTCTTTGGTCAGTAGCCAACCTGTAGATACCAGACTTTGTTGGAGTGGAAGGATTACTTTTATTTTTAAGAATAAGCTTTGGTTTTCCCTCTCCCCTTCTTTAGGACTTTATATCAACAGGAAATATTTTTGAAAGTGACAATTAAGAAGCTATACTAGAGAATTACTCTTTAGAGAGAGAAACAAGTTTCAACTCACCAACTTTAAATTAGATATTTAGAAGTTACATGAAATTGTGGGTTTTGTGTGTAACTAGAACTGACGTGGCCACTTATGAAAAAGGGAGTCCGCCACAGCAAAGAAGGGAGAGGGCAACACTAGGGGAGAGAAGGAGAAACAAGGCAGCCAGGAAAAGAAGATGAGGGGAGAGAGCACCTGAGAAGGGAAGAAAGGCCTGTTCCACCCAGGTCCTGATGATCATAACTCCAAGCTTCTGCCTGGATGCTCTGTCCACTCAAATTTATTAATATCATTCAGCTTTCAAAATTTCAAATTCCTATGATCAGATCCTGCTTCCATGAGAAAACCTAGATTCTTCAGTCCCCAAACCTCAAATCTTATCATGACTTTATGGTTAGTACTCCAAATTGTCCTCCTACTTCCAGATCTGGATTAAATTTTTCATTTACTTCCTTGCAAGTATGAATCAAGATGGCATGCCAACCAAACCCAGGCAGCCACAGATTCACCTTGTCTCAGGGAGCACAGACCTCCATTCATACTGCCTATGCCAACCTTATCTCACCTTTCCAGCCAAACCTCCTATCTTTATTGATTTCATTCAGTTACTTGTTTGATATTTATTTCTTCCTTTTGAAAGAGATCCTCTTTGATTATTTTCCTATCACTTTTCGGGAGGAAGAGAGGGGGAATTCCTTTAGAAGCCAGTAATCTATGACATCAGTGACTAGTGTTAGCTTGGATGTTTATAAGTAATCAAGATATTTTCTGGGAAAAGAATCACACACCCAAACCACCTATTTCTGGACACATGTAAAACAGAACCAGTCATTCATATATATATATTTGCATTACAATTCTTAATACACCATTATACCATAATTTATTTTATCTCTGATTATATATAAGGTATGTTGACAACAAATTCACATCTTTATACATGTATTTTGTGTAATGATGAGGGTCTCCAGGAAATGTGTGGATGAAATAATGCTTAGATGTGTTTTGTCCCCCATAGATTTATGTTTTTAGTTATACTAGAATGAAACTATGTAGAATGAAAGATTATTTCAAAGGTCTAAGTATAGAACTGATTGGCACAAAACACTGGTAAAACTGTAAAGTGGGGCAAACTGGCCCACCTCACCTTTCAAGCTCTCCAGTATTTCTACAGCAGTGTTAATGTGTCCTGCCACTAGGTGGCAGGCACACACCAAGCGGTGTAGCTCTCCTGAACCTTATTTTTCATAGATTAAATAGCATCAACCATGAACTTAATTAAGGCAATTATAAATTCTAACTTAATGATCAATTATATATAATTATAATTAATTGTAATTATATTATAATTATATAGTTTTATATTATAATTTAGGGGCTAATTATTAATTAATAAAAATATCAACCCTAATCTGAAAATTCAAAAGACCAAAAAAAACAAAAAAACCTTTCTGTATAGTAAGTCACTTTGATTATGCTGTTTTTTTCTTTATAGTTTACACTCAGGTTACTCTGTATAAAATTAAGTTGGAGTCAGGTGGTGTGCACACCTGTAATCCCAGTGACTCAGGAGGCTGAGGCAGGAGGAACCTAAATTAGAGGCTGGCTTAGCAAAATTAAAAAGAGAGAAATGCCTGGGGATGTAGCTCAGTGGTAAAGTGCCTCTGGATTCAATCCTCGGTACAACAAATAAATTGGAAATTTTCAATTAAATATTTTTGCCTACACTGACCCCCTTTATTAACCCTAAATGGGACAGGGCAGGGCCCATGAACCCAAAAGGTGAGCAAGTATTCCCTCCCCATGGATTGTCAGCTACAGCATGGATTTTTAAGGTTGATATGATGGCATATGTTCAATTATAATTTATTATATGAGACCCTGTAGAGTTGAAGTTTCAATTACCAGAGTGGTTTCAAGTGTCCAGTGATGTTAAGGTCAACAGTGGCATCCTAAGCAAACTTTCTTGGTGGCAGCATGTTAACCATGCCCTAGCTTCTTCTTCTAG